GTGTGTACACATACATACGCACGTACGTACGTACGTACACACATGCATGCATACATACATACGTACACACATACATGCACGCATACATACACACATGTACACACATGCATGCATGCATACACACACATGCATGCATGCACACATACACACATGTACGCACATACATGCATGCACGCATACACACATGCGTGCACACATACATGTGTGCATACATACATGCACACGTACATGCATGCATGCATACATACACACATGCATGCATGCATATGTGCACACACACATGCACGCATACATGCGTATGACTTCTTCTTTAACCTTTCATCTGTTGATAGACACTTAGGCTGCTTTCGTATCGTGGCTATTGTTAATAATGCTGCAGTGAACATACGCATGCTTGGGTCCTTTTGAATTAGCGTTTTGGGTTTCTCAGATAGATACTCAGAAGCGGAATCACTTTGTCACTTATTGTAGCCTTTGTTTCGACGTCTACTTTGTCTGGCGTACGTATTGCTCTCCGGCTTTTTCCCCTTTCTATTTTCATGAAATGTCTTTTTCCATCCCTTTACTTTCTGCCGATGCGTGTCTTTCCATCTGAAGTGAGTCTCTTGTAGGCAGCATACGTAAGGGTCTTGTTTTCGTATCCATTCAGCCATCCTGTGTCTTTTTTTTTTTTTAACTATATTCCTTACATCCTATATCTTGTGATTGGAGCATTTAATCCATTTACGTGTAAAGTAATTGTAACATAGTTATCGCCATTTTATTACTCATATTTTTTGTTATTTTTTTTCCCTTCTTCTTAAGTCCTTTTAACATGTCTTGTAGTACTGGTTTGGTATTTTAGCTTTTTCTCATCTGGGAAGATCTTTATCTGTACTTCAGTTCTGCAGGATAGCTTCACTAGGTCTAGGTCCTTGCACTTTGAATATTTCCTGCCAATCCCTCCTGGCCTGGAGGGTTTCTGTTGAGAAATCAGCTGACAGTCTTACGGGAACTGTGTTTCTCTCACTCCTTTGAAGATTCTCTTTGTCTTTGAACTTTGGCATTTAAATTATGTCATGTCTTGGTGCGGCCTCTTTGGGTCCATCTTGTTTGGGACTCTGAGCTTCCCGGGCTCGTGCGCCTAGTTCCTTCGCCAGGTTAGGAAAGTTTTCCATCATTATTTCTTAAAATAGGTTTTCAATTCCTTGCTCTCTCTTCTCCTTCCGGTTCCCCTATGATGCAAATGTTATACATGATGTTGTCCCGGAGGTTCCTTAAACTACCGTCATTTAAAAAATTTTTTTACTTTTTGGTTTTTTGCTGTTCTGATTGATTTGCATTCAGCTAGTCTTCAGGCGATTCTCAGTGCCGGTTGTTCTGCTATGTAGTTGTAATTTTGATGTAATAGTGGGAGAAAGTCAGAACAGTATTTACATATCTGCCACCTCCACCGGAAGCTTTTGTTGTTTTGATATACATTGCAAAATGATCTTCACAATCCAACCAATGAACATACCCGTCATCTCACGTAGGGTACTGTTTCCTCACTTCCTGCCTTCCCTCCTCCTCCTCCCTCTCTTTCTTCCTTTCTCTCTCTCTCTCTCTCTCTCTCTCTCTCTCTCTCTCTCTCTCTCTCTTTCTCTCTCTCTCTCTGCCCCCTCCTTTTCTTTCCTTTGGTCAGCACTCAGCTGAAAGCTCAAGAAACGCCCTCTGGAGACGTGGATTTTTCTGTCTGTGCGGCTGTCACCTGTCCATTCCTCATCCTGCAAACTCTAGCAGCTCTTTCTCCCCCTGTCACTCTGACTTGGGGAGGGCGCCGGCCTCTGCCTGTGTCTCCCTTCTCTTTGCTACAACCCAGAAACTTTCCCAAGTCGGTAAGCTGGACGACTGTGGGGCTCGCGTCATCCATTTCCCGTAGCTCAGGATTTACTGCCTCCCCTTGCTCAGTTTCCAAACTCTGCAGTCTTTTTTTTTTTTTCCACACACTTTGCTCAGTTTTTATTATTATTATTATTTATTTTAGAGGGAGCGGGGAATAAATCTTGTCCCCCTTACTCCATCTTGTCTTGAAGCAGACGTGGTTTCAAGTGATATTTAATTTCTTCATGCCTAACTGGGTTATTGGCCTTGCACTAAGCATGTTTCGCTCTCATAATTGTATTTGTTAAAGCGCCTATTTATAAAGCCAATAAATTTTTAGAAAGAAAATGACCTACTGTGGGAAGACATTTGCAACATAAGTTTTTGCTATAGACAGGATTCTTACATATCAATGAGAAAAATAATAGAAATTATGGAAATATAAATGGCCAATGAGTATTTTTTTAACTGGTTCTCCCTACTAGTAATCAAAGAATCGTAAGTGTTATGGTCTTGGGTTGAGGACCATCATGCTTCCTTATATTTGCCAATACTGGTGAAAGTGAGAATTGGACACTCACATGCCACGTTGGTGGGCATGGATACCGACTTGGTCTTTCTTGCAGGCATTTTGACATCACAGATCCAGATGCTTAAAGGGGACCGTACCTGACCCACAATTTTACTTTTAGGAACTTATGAAAAACTTAAGAATATGAGCAAAGATTTAGGTACAAGATATTTTAGACATCAGAGTTTATGTCGGTAGCAATACCGAAAACCACTTAAAGGGTCATAAATTAGGATTGGAAAGCAAATTTAGTACATCCATGTTATGTTTTTTGTTGTTGTCGTCCTAAAAACAGCATGGTTGAAAATGACATGACATGAAAAGATTTTCATCACATGAAGTGAAAATATAGTCCTACATGGTCCCATCTTTGTTTAAAACATTGATGGGTAGAGAAAAAGGTTGTACTTTAAAATATGAGTATTGATTATTTCTGAGTATGCTTTTATTTCCTTATTTTTATTTACTTACATTCTCAAATTTTATACCGTAAGTATCTATTGCTTTGCCTTTGGAACAAGAGTAGCCTTATCTTTAGTTATTGTAAATGTCTGTTAAACATTTGCATTTTTATGCTACAGACCAGGGGCTGGCAAGCTTTTACCACGAAGGGCCAAGTAGTAAATACTTTAGGCTCGTGGGCCAGATGGTCATTGTCACGGCTGCTCCCCTCTGCTGTTATTGCAAGAAAGTAACCGTAGACGATATGGAAATGAATGACTGTGGCTGTGTGTCAACAAAACCTGATATTCACAAAGAAATGGCAGGCCGGATTCGAAAAAGCCATGGATCCATACGAGGAATCCGTATTAGCAAGAACGTAGATCAGTCAAGATTTTTTCCCTCATCTTAAATCATTCTTTTAAGGCCATTGTCTTCTGACTTTTTCTTTAAGATCCTCACCCAAAAAGGATCTTATTTGCCGGGCTTTAGTTACAGAAAAATTAAATGCTTAGCGACGTGATTTTCTGGTGCCTAAATATTCATTTCTGCAATTAAATATGGATGTGCCGATTAACGGGGCTTTTTTCTTTTCCAAGTAAAATTTAAAATGCCAAACAAATTCCGTGCTTCTGGAAGGGGCAGATGAGTCTTGTGTAGACCAACGAAATGCTGAGACTCTCCAGACCTAACACCAGGAATCACCTCAACTTCCTCTCCAGAAAGAGCAATGTCGCAGAGTTGGTTCCAAAAGTCACCGGTGGATTTTTGCTGGGTTTCTCTTGGTGACCAGCCATTTCATGAATTCAGCATTGCTGTCCTTCACCACTTCCGGGTCCTCCATACGCTGTAGACGTGACACAGGACAAGCGTGGGGTGGGGAAGGAGCTCCTGGGCCAGTCCGACCCAGCTGGTCTCGGAACCCATTAAGCGTGTGGGTCAGGCTGATGTGAGGACACTAGCTATTATAGAATTATTTTTGTGGTTGTTTAATCTTTTACATTTTTTTTTTTTTTAGTTAAGTATAATGGACATATAATATTACATTCGTTTTGGGTGTACAGTATAGTGATTTGGCATTTATGCAACTTGCATTGTGATCACCACACTAAGTCCAGCAACCATCTGTCACCATGTAAACTTATCGCACTATTACTGACCCTGCTCCCCGTCACCCTCTCAGCCAGCCCGCACCCCGTCCCTCTGGTGACCGTCAGTTTGGTCTCTGTTTCTATGAGTCTGTTTTTGCTTGGTTTGATTTGGTTCATTGTTTTTTGCTTTGTTTTTTTTTTTTTTTTTTTAGGTTCCACATATAACTGAAACCATGTGGTCTCTGTCTTTCTCTGCCCGACTTATTTCGCTGAGCATAATACTCTTTAGGTCCATCTATGTTGTCACAAATGGCAAGATTTCGTTCTTTCTATGGCTGAGTCATATTCCATTGTATGTATGTACCGTATTTTCTCTATCCAGTCATCTATCGAGGGACCCGTAGGTGGCTTCCATGCCTTGGCTGTTGTAAATAATGCTGCGGTGAACGGAAAGGTGCAGAGATCTTTTCAAATTAGTGTTTTTGTTTCCTGTGGTTAAATACCCAGAAGCGAGATTGCTGGATCATATGGTAGAACCACTGTGGAAAATGATACGCAGAGTCCTCAAAACATGATAACTAGAAGGACTGTAGTGTGGACTTGGAACCCGCCAGGGCGCTCGAACGCGGGTGACCCTGCCCGCGGACGTCGCCCTGCCTCTGGCAGGTGCCGCTGTCCATAACTCTGCCCCTCCTCCTCCCTCCCTCCCCGCTCCTCATGCTTCCTTCCCCGCACCAGCCACGCAGCCCACCGGCCCAGAGATGCCGACGCTCTCCAGCCTCCCCGAAGCGCCCGGTGCTTCCCCGCGTGCCCTCTGCACGTCGCTTCCCACCACGTAGGCTCCACACCTGCACGTGTCATTCCAGTCGCAGGGGGCTGGACCCCCTGACGGCAGGCCGCCACTGAGACGCCCTCCGTGCCGGCTCGGATGCCCGAGCGGTCGGAATCCGGTGCCGATGCGGCGGGTTCGATGACGCGCAGAACCGTCTCTTTTGTCCTGTGTGAGGGGGACTGCTCGTTTCACAGCTGTGGATCTTCCCCTTCTGTCTCCTCAGAAATCGCAGGTGCTCCGGTGTCTGAAATCTCTGGGCCTTTCTCAACAGACGACATAGCCAGCAACTGTGTCCCCGCCCTGCCTTTGAACGAGCCCGTGCTGTGGGTCGTCTCCTACACGCTCATGAGCGTGTGCGGGGTCATCCTCCTCATCTTAATCATCCTGCTTCTCCTCCCGTCCCGCTGTCGGCACCTCCCACGAGACCCCGAGGTCGTCAGCGACGAGTCCTCTCTCGTCCGGCACCGCTGGAAGTGACGAGTGAGGCCGGAACCCGAACCACCTCGAACTCACCTCCTAGGAGGATTCAATTTTGAGGGCGGCAGGCAGGAGTTTACAAGGCAGGGTTCCTTCCTGTGTCCATTAGTCTTGAGTCCCTGTCTGTCCTGCTCCCAGACGCCTTCCAGAGTCGCTGTATTTTGATTCTTGGTTTTAAAGCTTCCTTCTTCTTCTCTACTTCCAAGAAAATGATAATAAAAAACACCTCATTCTAAACCAAAACAGAGTGAATCGGGCTTCAGGCTTTATGTGACTGGTATACCACACCGTCTACCTGGGCCACCAAATAAAAAAGCAGGCCGCGGCTCCTTTTCCTCCCTCCCGTCTCTGGAGAAGTGAGCCCACACAGCTTATAACTCCTCTTAGCTAATGGGAAGCTTTGTGTATTAGTCGCTTTTAAGGGTATTTTGCACCCGGCTTCAAGCAGGGGCCCGGCGGTCCAGGAAGGCTCGAAGTTTGATGGCGGGAGTGGCGGCCTGGGGCCCGAGGACAGAAGCATCCTGCTTCCTCCTGAGTCAGAAACAGCTGCAGGGCCCTGTTCTGGGTCTGTCTGTGCCTTGCACGGGAGCAAAGTCCACTCAGAGGACATCGTCCCCGACGGTTCTCATGGGCCTCATCTGAAGACGGGAGGCCTCGTGCCCGTCGTGGTGGAGCGAGGAGCCCACGCTGTGGACGCTATGCTTCCGCCATAGTGTTGCCATCAGAGCAGAAAGCCACCTCTGCTGAGACTCCGGCCCGGGCCCCGAGCCTGGGCGGGGGTGCAGGCGGCCTGGCCCCAGCCTTTGCCATCACCTAAAAACATCCTCATCCCGACAGGCCAGCCGGAACAGGTCCGAATCACACACCGGGAAGTTCTGTCACCGAGCTGGTCATCATCTCACATGCGCACGCTTACTTAATATCGAGAAACAGCATTATAGTAAGAACAACCGGTTCCATTTCGCTAGCTTAGTTGTATCTTTTTCCAGGTCTTCTCGGGAGGTAGGTGGATCGTTACCCTTTGGGGAAACTGGGGAGCGGCTGAACACCGTGCTTCCGACCCGAAAGGAAGGAAGACGCGAGGCGTGCGGAGGGCTTGGTGGGGACTTCCGGTCGCCCCCACGCTCTGAAACCGCGTTTCCACTTGCACAAGCCCCTGGAGTCGAGCACGTGCGTCTGAATCAGCTGAAATAAGTGTGCGGAGCCAGGGACCCCACGCGTCCTCCCTTTGGCGTGTTCAGCCTTCTGATGGGTACCGCTACCCCTGTGTGGGGGACTCCCCTCTTGCTGTCCTTTGTGGCCTTTGCCAGAGAAAAGCAGAAACCTTTAAGTCAACGCAATCGGCCTTATATGATCTGATGTAATTAGGAGAAGGGTTCAAAGCCAGCGCCCCTTCTCTCTTGCTCATGTGCCAAGTTCAATGTTCACTTGCATGGTTACGGCAGCGAGCAGCTGGATGTGTAATAAAATTCCACTGGAAGGGCTAACTGTGGACTGTCTCCGCCAGCTGAAGTATTATTTGTGTCCAAAATAGGCTACATGTGGATGTCGCAGTCATCTGCTCTGCTCAGGGCATCCCGGGGTCCCCTCCACATTGAAAAATAGATGAGCGTGCCCAAGAGATGGGAGGTCACTTACACACATCGCGGTGTCCCAAAAGATTCTCCAGCTCTCGCAGATACCTGCAGAGAGGCACATCCATCTTCTGTGTTCTTCAAAATACGGTTTGAGCATGGTGGGGACAAGAGCCTCTGGGGACGGGATGGGAGGACTAAACTCTGTTATCGGATGCGTGTCGTTATGTCTGGTCTCAGCTTGTTGAGAGGCCAGAATTTGAAATGCATTTCAGAATTAGAAATCTCTGGAAGTCTCGTTCTCTTCTGGTCCTATCGGCTTTTTCACTGGGCCCTGTTTTGTGAGCCACTCGGCATAGCGATGAAGGTGACGCCCTGAGACTAAGCCTTCTCCCTGCTGTGAAAAATCCGAACCCCTGAAATGAAAAGAGGGAACCGCGGGTAGGACCTGGCTAGTTTGGCACGTGTTTCTTTGCACAGGCTTCTTCTCTTCCATTTTCCCTTGACGGGTTTCTGAGCTGGGAACATTTGTATCGCAGCCATTAGCAGGCACTCTTCCCAGAAGACATGATAATAGCAAGTTAGATTTCAAGCTAGGGTGTTTGAATGAGGTTTGCTCTGATTCTCTGTATTTCATATCAAATTTCTCTAGCTTTTCATCTCTGATGTCATTGGATGTGACATTTTAATGGAAATACTTAAATGACAAAAGCATGATTGAGCAACGAGATTGAAATAGACAATTGAATGTGGGACATTTTCCTGGCATGCCTCGCTGCTGAAAATTGGACTTTGAGTCAAAACTCTGGGAGTGACAGCCACCTCCCCGAGTTATGTAAATTGAGACTTAGCTAGGAAACCTTCCAGGAGGCTGGCTCTGAACGGGAAAGGAAGTAGCAACCATTGGAGGCTGCCATTTTTTACCTGGTAACAGCACATGGTGGAAAACGTTGGAAGATGGTTCTTTCCTGAAAAATGCAACTTAGCATTAGGTTTTCGTCAAACCCTGGTCAACTCTCTGAGGGAAACGAATGCTTCTATAGGAATAGTATGTATTTTTAAATAGGGTAATGCTTCCTATTCCTGATGGGCTATTAGAAGCCTGAACTGAAGTCCCGTCTTCAGCAACTGAAACTGTTTATGAAAAAATAGCAGGAAACGAGTTGGGGACTGAGTATTTTTTCCCCCTCTGGAATTTAAAAGCACCACGAAGGGACCGGCATTTACCAAACCCTACTTCGTATTTCTTCTGAACCTAAAACAGGTACCTGGCCTTAAAGCAACAGATTCCTCGCATGTGACAGCAGAGACGATTTTCCAAAAATCAGTTCGCTCTCGGGCATTTGGAAGGATTTTCACCTGATTCATCATGAAACGCGGAGGTTTTGGTTGGTGATACATGTGGGGTTAGTCACAGTTCAGAATCACGAAAGCCGTTGCCAGCAAGGCAGCGCTCATGCCGCAGGATTTCGCAAAGGAGTTGAGGTTTGGGGGTCGCGTTATCTCGTTTAAGGAGCGAGGAAGGAGTATTTCATTACCGCAGGTTCCCCGTGAGAATGAAGGTTTGTTAATTTCCTGTCACCAGGCCCCCACGTGGCAGAGCGGCCAAGCGTGGTCCGGTTCTCAGTTCTGGCCTCATGCCACTTGACGGTGTTGAAAATAAATCACTGCCCGACAGCCTGATCCGTCAACAACAATAATCAAGTTTCACAGACTCCATTCTCATTAGTGGAAACCAAATAATTGGGTAGGATCCCAGTGTGTTTTCTCTTGTGCAGACTTATTAGAATTGATTACATAATCGTTCAGAGGAAACATTTGCCAATAAGATTTTTTTCCTCTTTTAGGAAAAACAACGAAACACCATAAAATGTGAAATTACAGTTTTGCCAAGAGAGAAAATGGATATTTAATGCCAAGGAAACCGCACGCAACAGACGTTATTTTGTATACGTTTCTGGTGGGTTTTAAGAATTTCAGATTTGAACTTAAAGCCATTTACCGATTAAAGAGCAAACAGGGAAAAAATACATTTCGAGAGCGAAGGAGGAAAATAAAAAGTAATCGAAAATATGTAACAGAATAGGCAGAATTTGCCTTTTTTGAAAGTAGCTTTAATTCCAGGAATTAAAGTCGCTGAATCAATTGGGAGGGATCATTGGTTTTACACAGTTGCGAACTCCAAGCTTCAGGAATGTTCTAGCCGGAGCCATGTGCCCAATGTCAGTATTGCAACGTGAAAAGAGGCAGTCCCCTGCACTGTGCGTGGCCCAGGCCACGTGAAGATCGGTTCATTCAAGGAACAGGACCCGGAGGATGATTGGCACTTGGGAAATTCTAGAATCTGGGAAAGGAGGCGGGGTAGGAAGAAAGATCCCTTTGCCAGCAGATTGGCGCAAAAATCTGGAGAGCCGAGGACATCCCAGGATGTCACGGGCGACCCATTTCACCCCCAGGGTTTTGCACAGCTCGCATTTTAGGAATTTTCCACAGGAAGCTCTCGCGAGTTATAATTTGTTGGAGAGAGACTTGCTCTGCCGTCGCGTTTAGAACACGTCTGTTCTAACAAAAGTAGAGATGCCCAAACTCCCAAGGAAGACACGGTCCTTGGGCTGCAGGTCAAGGTTGTGCCCTGGGAAGGTCAAGAGCAAGGTCAAGGGGCCGGAGCCAAAGGCACGTTGGCCAAGTTCCCTCTGGGGTCTGAGCATCTGAGAAGGGCTCCTGGCAGCAGCTGCCCCAGTAGATATAGTGAGAGTCACAGTAACTCAGACGCAGCCATTTCCACCCCATTGATTTGACAGCCCACAGCTGCCTGACCTCACTCTGGGGACACCTGCCAGAGACGCTTCCAGGAAAAAGAGCTCGCGGGGGACCAGGTTCCCTCGTGTCAGCCTCTGAGCCTCTGTGTATATCTGTGTGGCCTTTGGGCCACCAGCGTCCCCCGTAGATCCATGCTGTCTTCGAGCTTACCTGGTGCTCTTCAGAGTCAGCACAGTTCAGTAGCCTCCCCAGGGGAGTGTCATGAGCGAAAACCATAGCTTTGGGCCTTGGGCAGGCGCCCTGCGTCTGAGATCGTCATCCTGGGCGGGTGAAGACAGCCTGGCACAGCGGTCAGCCCTGTTTGTGCAACATGGAAGGGAGAGCAAAGCCAGGCCTCGTGGCGACATCAGCGTCTGCAAAACCTCAAGTCCGCTTAGTTATTGGGATTAAACATGAGTGTCGCAAGGACACACACTTCAACCACTCACTTACCCCTGTCTCCTCACTTACCCGAGATTTCTCCGGGTTTGTGATAGACGTTCGTGCCGAAGTCCAGTGTTTCTAAACTCCGTCGTGCTGTGTGATTTTACAGCACATGGTCGTAAAGTGCGCCCCGTAGCTACGAGCCGGGCCAAGGGGCACATAAGGGTTCCCGATAGACCCAGATTCAGCCCACAGCGAGACTGACTCCAGGGCACCTGACGTCTGAGGCTCAGAGGCTCTTCGTGTCCCTTAGGAAGCCTCCAGGTGCCATTGGGACACCACGGCCGAAGCGGTGATTCTGGATGTGTTGGTTAGCGTCGCGGGATACAGGAAAGGGTATGATGGTGTCTGCCGGATGGGGTTTGCCCCCCGCCCACGGGCAGCGGTGGGAGTGGACAGTTAGTTCCCTTTACAGGTAGAAAATTATTCGTGTGAGAGCAACTGAATGACATCTATGTTGTAGGTTCTGCACAGGTGTACCCGGCCCAGGTCACTCGGAGTAGAATCTTTTGCCAACAAAGATGTGTAATTATATAATTATAAGGTATAAGTTTATAAAATAGATCTTGTGCAAATTGAGCTCAGCTGTCCTCTCACCAAAAAATGAATGAAACCTTGAATTCCTTTGAAACCTGACCTCCTTCACCATGGATGCTTTCCCACAGATTTTTCTTCATTTAGTTGGAATACATGTGTTTTTATTCATGTTACAGGCACGGGTCAGAATATCAGGAGAGGGCGAGCGCCTCCAGCAGACAGGTCTCATTTCCTTCTCTGTTAGATGCTCTCCGTGCGGATTGTCGACTTTCCCGATCTAACGAAGGTTTCGGCTTCATTTTATCTTCACTGAAGCACAATTTCACATGAGCTTCACAGTTGTGAAGTTAATGCTTCTGAATGAAAGTTTAGAAAACGTTAAAAGAAGCTTATCTTTTTGAGATTAAAAAAAAATAATGACCAAAGGTAATTAGGAATCTGTTGTTCTATAATGAAAATCGCCAAAAATAAACTGCTTGAATTCCAATTTCTTATACAGTTCTGTGTTCTCTGTTGCTAGTGAGCGGTACCAGCCTGAAATTTCTTTCTCGCTTTTCTAATTGCGGATGTAATGTTCTCATCAGTGAGGGTGGAAATTCTCTTACTGTTGGTATTAGTACCTATGAAAGGAAAGATCTGGATGAGATTTGTCGTGTAACAAAGCGGAATTGTTGTAATCTGAAACGATGTGTTTCCTATGATTTCTGTAAATTCGTGCAGTTAAATATACTTAAAGTTTATAATCCCTATGTTTGGTCATTTAAAGCAGACACTCATGTCTTGTTGTTGTTTAAAGGGGACTTTGCTGCTGGATTAGCGGTGTTTCTATGCTGGCTGAAAATCTGCAAATCTTGTATTCTAAAACAGACACTAGAAGTCACACTTTGCAAAATGTATCGATGTGTGTATCTCAACAGCCTTAATATATAACTCTTAAGTGTTACTTAGGCATTTTTTGAAAATGCTCAAGATGATATGTCCCTTTTGGAATTTTCCTCTATTTTTAGTGGACCGTGTTGATTTAAAGTTGTGATAGGACCAAGGCTTAGAGTAAAGAGCTGTCCACTTCATCTTATAAGTGACTCTGCAGCCAGCATCCAAATCGCTGTGCACGTCAAAGCTGGAGTTTTCTAGAACAATCTTATTTTTATACTTGTATTTTTATACGTGTGTGTTCCACCAGTGTAAGAGTATATTGAAAAGGAAGGAAACGAGTTTGGCTTGTTTGAATAAATAATACTTCCAACTTGTTGGGTTTGGAATTTTTTTAATACTTAGTTCAAGCCACGCCTCCGAAGTTCCAGTCCGTGACGCGTCATGGTTCGCTGACCCCCGCTACTTCATGTAGCTTCCTGGAAGGGATCGGGGATAAAATCGAAGGGAGGGAGAGTCCAAGCTCGATCATTAAGGCGTAAAATATACCGAAAATGGGAGGAGAATGGAGTATACTAGGATGGGAACCGTCCTGGCTGTGGAGAGAGAGCACCGTAGGAGACACACAGTAAGCGCACTTGGGCGGGCGTAAGGAGGGGCAGGGTGTTCGTCCCATGATGGGCACCTGTGCCACCCTCCCCTCACCACCCTGCAAGGAGAAGATGTTCTCCAGATCCTACGGACTAGAAACCAGCTGCACGTCAAACCAGTCATATGCCCAGGAAAGCAGCCAGAACAGTGTTTGCCCTGGGAGTGGACCCAGCTCTGTTTACCTGCAAAAGTAAACCTGTTTCTCTTAGCCCTGCCTTGCCCTGGGGGGTGCGGGGGGGCCCTGCCGTGCTGACTCACATCCTCCAGACGCACAAGGGTCCGGCTGAGTGGGTCAGTCTCAGAGGGAAGCGCGCCAAATCGGGTGAAGCACGGATAGTGAATGAATGGAGGTGGACATCACCCATAAGCTGTCATCATGCTGCTACACCAATCCTTAAAAAATACACTTCTTTCAATAACCGGGCACTTTTTGTTTGACCAGACCCAGATAAGAAGAAGAAAAAAAAAAAAGAATTTTTAACCATTAAGAGATGGAGCAATAGTTACTGGGGAAACAGAATAGGATATTTGCTTTCTTATAATGAAGGAGATGATGATTTGATTTGAGTTTTCACTTCTTTTCTGTGCTCGTTTATTGCATTTTGCCCTCCGTAAACTGTGGGTAGCATTGCAGATGTGATTTTGTGTTTTCGTCACTAGGTGGTGCTGTTGTAAAACTTAGCGGCGTGAAGTTTTAATTTATTTTTTTTTTTTCATTCTGCGTGGCTTTCATAGACAGCTTTTATCAAGTGTGTGACGTCGTTAAACTACATCCCGGCAACTAGCCGAAGACACCCACTCCTCCGTTCTTCTCTAAAACACAGTCTGCAGAACACGCCCGCTGCATGTCTAGTAAATCTTGGAGGTGATCCCCAAATACGCATCTCCAAAGCTGGTCGTCCCACAGGAAGGAAACTGGGTCGCACAGAGGTGTCATAAAGTCTCCAGGTTCTCCCTGTCAGTGGCAGAGTCCAGATCTAAGAAACCAGCTTGTCTGATTAACAGACCCATGATCTCAACCATGATGCGACTGTCTTTATAAGCTTAAAAGCTGTGTATATTGAAAAGAAAATTATTTTTAAAAC